AAAAATATACAAAAGAAGGATCAAACAAACCTCCTTGGCTTAATCTGACCAACAAGCAGGTCTTTTGTTGGCCTTTTTGCTGAAAGCTTAGATGTGTGCATTTTGAAAGCTTATTCTGTGTGTTTTATGAGGCTTCCTAATCTTTTTGATCACAGGGAAAGAGTCATATCTTTGAGTTTGAAAATTATTCGGATATGCATGCTTGCCGTGATTTCATCAGTAAGCTCTTTGTGCCGATGGTTTTCTTTTATTTAGTGGAAACTACCTTCTATTGGTTTCTTTCAGTGGTACTGAAACCATTTTACTATGAACAGCTAAGGCCCTTGCTAAATGTGAAGAGGTGCCTAAGAAATCAGCTGTCTCGACATCAACTGAGCAGCTCAGTATTGCAGAACTGGAGCTACGCTTCAAGGTTCTCCGAGAAAATAGGTATGCAATCGGAACACTAGGTTACCTTTTGGGATCCTTAGAGTTTCTATTTTCATAAGTTCATCGAATTCCTTAAAACATAAGTAGTGCATGCATGATATGTAGTGAGCTGCAAAGATTGCATAAGCAATTTGTGGAAAGTAAAGTTTTAACGGAAGATGAATTCTGGGCTACAAGGAAGGTTGGTTCTTTGTAGTTTCTTTGGTTCTCAATTATCTGTTTGTTTGAGTGTAATCATAGTTACCAGCTTTCTTCTGATCGCAGAAATTACTTGGTCAAGTTTCCACTGGAAAGTCAAAACAACAAGTCGGGCTCAAGAGCATGATGGTATCTGGCATCAAACCATCTACTGATGGGCGGGTATGGTATATTTCACTCTACCCCTTCCTGAGAGTCATCCTTTTCGGTTAATAAGTTCAGTGCATGCTTTTGTATGAAAGAAACAATGCACCTGTATAAGTAAACTATGTTGTGTTTGGTTGAAGTCCAGCCGCTTGCTGTTATATATCGTACAATTCATCTGGTTTATACTAACCACCTTCTTCAATGTTTTTTTTTTCAGACTAATAGGGTGACGTTCAACTTGACATCAGAGATCATTTTTCAGGTCAGCTCTTTGGTTGACTAGGTTCTCCACTGATTTAGGTGCTCTATAGGGTCAGGATAAGTTTTACGGTGAACGAGGTCCATGTTTCAATTGGTGATATTTTCTGTCATAAATTATGTTATGTGTGGTTCCATCTGCATCATGTGTTTGAACTTACAAACTCCAAAGCGAAACTACAAGCGAGGGATAGAGACATTTATAATAGCCTTTCAGTTCACCTTCTATTTTGCGCTGGCTTAGTCCTTAGATCTGCTGTAAGAATAGTTGAATGTTGCTTCACTCATGCTACTGTCCATGTCTCACATATGATTCTTTCATTACGCTTTCAGATTTTTGCTGAGAAACCAGCTGTTCGGCAGGCATTCATAAACTATGTTCCGAGTAAGGTAACAAAGCCTTCATGACTATGACTATCTTTGTTTATAGGTTTAACCATCAAATCCGACAAATCTTAAATGGTTTTTGGTAGTTTTTTACTACGACAGATGACAGAAAAGGACTTTTGGACAAAATATTTTAGAGCAGAATATCTTTACAGCACCAAAAATACAGCAGTAGCTGCAGCAGAAGCTGCTGAGGACGAGGAACTCGCGGTTTTTCTGAAGCCTGATGAGATATTGGCTCGGGAAACTCGTCAGAAGGTTATTTTGCCTCTACAATTATTCATTTCTCTGTATTTTATTTGAGAAGAAAACATTTTTTTGCATATTTATCTGATCTGAATGTCATTTATGTAGATTAGACGAGTTGATCCGACTCTTGACATGGAGGCTGACCAGGGAGACGACTACTCTCATCTAATGGTAAGCCAACTACCACTGCATTAGATGTATGTTGGACACTGCGTCAAGTGATTTGTTTTCTAAAATCCTCAGACCCTGTATAAGCTGTTAAATCAAGAAATTTAGGTTCTTACAAATGTAAATTCTGGACTACGCAACTACGTTTGAATTATCTGATCTACTTCTATTTCTTTGTGCCTTACAAATTAAAACTACTGCTTTTATCTTATACACTAGGACCATACTTTAATATTAGCTTGTATAGGAATGTGTTTCATGCTGATATCTAGAAAATAGGGATCTTGAAATCCAATTTGCGGATCATATCTTCACATCATGTGCTTAATGTAAATTTACTTTCCAACAGGACCATGGGATTCAGCGTGATGGCACCAAAGACGTTGTTGAATCACAGAATGACCAATTTAGGAGGTCACTGTTGCAAGATCTTAATCGCCATTCTGCTGTTGTATTGGAAGGCAGAAGCATTGGTAAAACACTTCTACTAGAGCACCTATTCTGATTTCTTCATCTGATATTCTGTGTAACGTCATGAGAAATAACTGCAACTGACTCTTACAGCTAGTTCGTAAAGGTTAAATATATAATGATGCGCACTTGTACTTTTTTAATTGAAAAGCAGATGTTGAGTCAGAAGATACGAGGGTTGTTGCAGAGGCTCTGACACGGGCCAAACAAGGTTTGCTGTTTCATTCTGCTATGTCCTACTTTAATATTCTTGCAGATTGATGACCGATGCCACACGTTATTATATTCATCTGACTTCAGTATCCATCTTTATTACTTTTGTAGTTAGCAAAGCTGATGGTGAAACCACCAAGGACGCTAATCAGGATAGATTGGAGAGAATGTCTCGGACAGCGGAAATGGAGGATCTTCAAGCACCACAAAATTTCCCGTTAGCACCGCTATCTATCAAGGTTTGGCTTTCTGCCATTAAAGGGTTTTCAGTGTTGATGATGGATGCTTCATAAATCCTCTAACCCTTTCTTTTTTTTTTTTTGGAATTTAGGACCCTCGTGATTACTTTGAATCTCAACAAGGAAACGTCCTCAATGAACCTAGAGGAGCAGGGGCATTAAATAGAAATGTCCATGAAGCTTATGGGTTGCTAAAAGAATCCATTTTGGAGATTAGAACTAAAGGATTAAGTTATCCGTTGATTAAATCAGAAGTTTCCTTTGAGGTGCTACTCTATCTCATGATAAAATGTGTGCTTACTAAAAGAAACCATGGCTTATTGCTTTGGTGCCTGCGCTAAACATTGCTAACCTATTCAGGTTTTCAGTTCGTTAACCCAAACTATCTCAACTGCCAAAAATATTATCGGGAAGAACCCGCGAGAGAGCTTTCTGGACAGATTACCAAAGTCCACCAAGGATGAAGTTCTACATGTAAGTCATAAGTAACAATAACACCTATGGATTCTGTTGTCCCCTCAAAATGGATCACAAGAGTACTTTTTCTTTTTTCTTTTTCTCTTTCATCTACAGCACTGGACATCAATACAAGAATTACTGAGACATTTTTGGTCATCTTACCCAATAACAACCACATATCTTCACACGAAGGTAAATTTGTTCCCATTTCATAATTCTCCTAATCCCAGAATTTGCTATATACAAATATTCACAACTTATTTTACTCCAAGAGCAAGATCGTATACTAGGATATTATGTTTTACTATGCAGGTTGGTAAACTGAAGGATGCAATGTCCAATACTTATTCACAACTCGATGTAAGCTATGAAATTCTTCTTCAAGTCTTCCTGATATAATAAGCTACTCGTAGTCTATTAGAACAGTCGTTCCAAATCTCTCCATGCCAGTAATTGCATATGGTCTAGTGTGTGCGTTCGTGTACGGGTTCCTTGATATTAATCTGCATGTAACTCAGGCAATGAAACAGTCGGTGCAATCTGATCTCCGGCATCAGGTTTCTTTACTGGTTCGGCCAATGCAACAGGTTAGCCTCTTCCAATACTTACAGAAGAAGTTTTATGACAGCATCTCTCGATCGGTTAAGTCTCCACACGCATTGTATCGGATCTATCCGATTTAACCATCCAATCCAGGCACTACATTGTAATCCGGGTAACACAGTGAAATCTGAGTGATCTTAACCCGTTTTGTCCATCAGGCCCTTGATGCTGCGTTCCAACACTACGAAACAGACTTGCAGAGAAGAACCGCTAAGAGCGTTGGAGGCAGCAGCAGCGAAAGACCAAACGGGGGCGTTTAGAAGACAACACGCATCTTTGTTTTGTTTCACAAAGTGTAATTGATGTTTTTGAGATTTTTCTTTGGTTGCTTTTTGTCCGATCATTGAGAATACAAACAAAAGGCGGTTATATTGTCTAATCGAGGCGCTTTGTACTTGAAAGAGCAATTTTCTTCAACATCATTCTCGAACTAAAGTACCCACTGAATATAATTTAGCTTTTGAAGTGTAGTAGATAAGATTCTCCAGAGGACCTTAAGATTGTTGCTTGAGTTACAAGAAACCTCCCGATGCCTAGTTACAATGAACAATAATAATAGGGAGAGGCTTCTGTTTACATAAATTTCAATGGGATATGACAATGATCAAATTACAAAACAAACATTCCAGATTGGAAAGAGAAAAAGAAAAAAAAAACTTCGAAGATAAAGAAAGATGCAAGACTAAGTCCAATACATAACCTATAAGAAATAAATTTTTAATCCAAGATTCAAATACATCATCAAAGTTTTTTGTAGTTTGATGGTGGACTTCATTAACCATGCGAATCACACACTTGCCGTGGAGATGGGACAACAAGAGGTCCACTTCGATTTAAGCTAAAAATCTATACTATTAAATCAGCATATTTAACTAAATATCATATCAGTAATTCACATATAATACATAAGGGACATTCGAAATTAATTCAAAAAAAAAAAAAAGGTAAAATGGCCAATCAAAAAAAATTATTTTGAGTCCGAATAACTCTAATTATTATTTTATTTTTGGTCACAAAACGCGAATAATAACTCTAGTTATATATAGTGTTTTTTTTTCTTCTATATACACTTGTAGTTGTAGTTAGTTAACAGGACAAATTAAAATGATGTAAAAAACTATAAAGATAAATGAAAATATGAGGAATAAATTTATGATCTCTTCGATTTGCATTCTTTTGAAAAAAGCTAAACTTGTCTTCTTCAACGGATGAAAATTTAGTAGCGAGAAGGAAACTTCCTAGCTCACGCTCTTCACTTCAATCTGAGATCTCATCGCAACTAAATCACACAGAGATCACAAATCTCGTGAAGTGAAACTTTTTAATTGTATTCCTTGAAAATAACAAACCCATCGAATTTTTGTAGACTAAGCTTCTCCATCCATTCTTCCTCCTACAGCAGATCCGAAGACGAAGAAGAAATCAAACTAGTTCCGGGTTTTTTATCTTGCTAGTTTGTTGAGTTATGCTGGATTTGGTTTTCAATCTTTCTTCTCTGACCGTTCGTTGACTTGCTTAGGTAAAAATATCGGGATCTCTTTGCAAGTTCCTTTCATTCCTATGAAAATCACTCAACTATGTGTTGTATTGATTCTTTGTTTGTGGTCTCGAGGTTTGGGTTAGCGTTTGAAAACGTTTTTGACTAAAGCTTTGAAAGACAAATTCGAATTGGATTCGCGTTACTCTATATCAATGAATTTGTTCTTCAAGTATCTACTGATTCATGCAAATCTTAAGCTTAGACCTTAAAGTAACGCATTTTCAGTTCAAGTTCGCCTTTTGTTGCGGTTTCTATTCTGTGAAGATCAATGGGCTTTGATATTGATGATCTGATTGGTCTCCCAAGTTTTCAGATTTAAATTGTGTTCGATACCTAATCTAAGGTTTGGGTTACAGGTACAAGTCTCTCCATCTCCAGCTTCTAGAAGAAGACAACATTTTAGTGTATCCTCGTTGAGTCTATGGGTTGTTGTAAGGTGCCGGCTCTTATTCAGGCGCAGGTAGAAGTAAGTTAGTTCACGAGATCAGTGTCTTGTCTCTTTTTTTTTTGGCTCCTCATTGTCAGCTGATTGGAAAAAGTTGTCATTGTAAACAGATGGGTTTGGTAAGTGAAGTTGAGCACAAAAGACTTTTCAGACGAGAAACAGATTCACCACAAACAAAAGCTGCTTCTTTGATGGAGCAAGGTGGATCATTTTCTGCAAATTTTCAAGAGCGCACAGCTAAAGCACCTAAGCACAGCGTGCTCCAGAGCTTCAAGATCGTCATTTTATCGAATAAACTCAATCTTTTGTTGCCTTTCGGTCCACTAGCAATATTACTCCACTATTTGACAGATAATAAGGTGAGCAATGTTAGTTTCGGGTACTAAATTTTAGCACTTTCGTTCCTTCTTGTTATGTCATCAAGAAATGATTCTTATGGCTCAGGGATGGATCTTCTTACTGAGCTTAGTAGGAATCACACCATTGGCTGAACGTCTCGGATATGCCACAGAGTAAGCCGTTGCTCGCACTTGCAACTCTTAACTTACATTCTATTAGCAAGACTTGTATAAAAGTACCCGTTTGTTTATTCTTTGTAACAGGCAATTGGCTTGTTACACAGGTTCAACTGGTATGACTTGGTTTCTTCTAAATACACAAGTTCATTTTCAGGATTCCTTTCCCTCCTGATTAGTTTTTGACGCGCTAGAAAAATTTCACAGTTGGAGGCCTCTTAAACGCTACATTTGGAAACGTGACAGAGCTGATCATATCTATTTTCGCTCTTAAAAATGGAATGATACGCGTTGTACAGCTGACACTGCTCGGCTCCATTCTTTCTAACATGTTGCTTGTACTTGGCTGCGCCTTTTTCTGTGGGGGGCTTGTATTTTCCCGTAAAGAGCAAGTCTTTGACAAAGTAGGCATATCAATTCACTTGTTGTCTCTTTTTTTTCCTGTTTTGTTCTTGTTGTTCTGTAATCTTTACCATGTTTCTGAGCTTATATCTTCTGCAATACAGGGGAATGCGGTTGTGAATTCAGGACTGCTTTTGATGGCTGTTATGGGGCTACTCTTCCCCGCTGTTCTTCATTACACGCATAGCGAGGTTCATGCTGGTTCGTCAGAGCTGGCTCTTTCAAGGTTCAGTAGTTGCATAATGCTTGTGGCCTATGCTGCTTACCTTTTTTTTCAGCTAAAGAGCCAGCCCAGTTCTTATACCCCTCTTACCGAGGTGTGTCATCTTCGACCTTTAGTTTTTTCTTACAGATGCCTGGAAACGATGGTGAAGACAACTTCAAATATTAAATGGTTTCTTACAAGTTACAAACCAGTTTCATCATTTATGGGCTCTGTTCATTTTTCTTCTTGGTTGCTCTCTCTACTAGCTGGACTTCAATCTGCTGTTTGGTGAAAATTTGTAAACTTTAGGATATGAACCAGAGCGAAGAAACTTCGGACGATGATGAAGATCCTGAGATCTCCAAGTGGGAAGCAATCATCTGGCTTTCAATCTTGACTGCTTGGGTCTCTCTTCTTTCAGGCTATCTTGTCGATGCCATTGAGGTAAATCACTACCCTTTTTTTTTTTCTTTCTAGATCTTATCTTTATGAAGATTTTACAGTATTAACTTGACTTGTTTATGCCATATGATTAGTACGGCATTATAACGTGAGTATACTAGCTGGCTTATGGTAAAAACTCAACCGATGCAATACATAAGTTGGAATATGTTTTAGATACTTGTAATATTCCTAATCACATGCACGAGTCCATCAAAAGCGCCAATATTTTCTGTAGAAGTGTCTTGTCAAAGAGTGACTAGAAACCAATGATCACTACAACATAACAATGCGAGTTTGGCTTACTGTTTTCTGTTGTTTGTGTTTTTCAATATATAACAGGGTGCTTCGGTCTCATGGAAGATACCAATCTCGTTTATTAGTGTCATCTTGCTTCCTATAGTTGGAAATGCGGCCGAGCATGCAGGTGCTATTATGTTTGCCATGAAAGACAAGCTGGTACGCAGACTAGTCTCTTGCAATTCTGATGTCTTTGGTTTATCTTTTTTTAGGTGTATATTTATTATACTCTCCTCTACAGGATCTGTCTTTGGGAGTGGCTATTGGATCGTCAATCCAGATTTCCATGTTTGCGGTACGTATAAGAAATGTGAACCTGGGGTCTATATAGTACTGAACATTCTCTTTACAGATCTGGCCTGACTTTTGGCCCGATTATGGATATAGGTTCCATTCTGTGTGGTGATCGGATGGATGATGGGTGAACAGATGGATCTGAATTTCCAGCTATTTGAGACTGCTACACTGTTCATAACTGTGATAGTTGTAGCATTCTTCCTCCAGGTGGGTTCATAATCTTGAAGCAATTAATTACGAAAACCAATCTTGACGTTAAATTATGTCTCTGTGTTTGTCGTTGTGCAGGAAGGGACATCGAATTACTTCAAAGGATTGATGCTCATTCTCTGCTATTTGATAGTTGCTGCCAGTTTCTTTGTACACGAAGATCCTCATCAAGGTTAGGTGTTGAATTTGTTATCTTCTTCCCATATATTACGTAAATGGTAACATTAACCAGAAAACCTGGTTCGTGTGTCTGCGGAAACGACTTTGAATTGGTTTTTTGTGTTCTTCGTTACTTGACAGATGATATATAGCCATCCCAAAAAACACGTGAATCTGGTACGTGTCCTAAAACTAAACCCTGGTGATCTTACTTACATGTACATTTTTTTTTTAAGATTCTGGAGTTAATGTTTGTATCAGACCAAACTGAAAGTTGTCCCAGTTTACGTTTGAGGCCCCTTCCTTGGGGGCTGGTTTAGGGTTGCAATTTTGTGAAATTACTTTGATTATCTTTATATATATTATATAATCTATTGGGAACTTGTAATCGGAATTTCTATAGATTAGGCATCTATCCAAGCGTTGCGCTCACCTAAAACAATTTAACATTTCTATACATATTAATAATATATATCACATTAACCATATATATAAATCAGATTATTCATTCGATAGTAATTTTGTTTTAAATTCATGGTGTCCTGCTACCAAGATGCAAGACCGGCTAAGAAACCTTTTAAAGATTATGCGTTATGTTCAAGATTTTTGTAATACAAAAAAAAAACTCTATTTGATGAATTGTGTCATGGATCCTATGTGAATTAGTGAATACACAAATGCGAGAATCTCTTACAAGAACAGCCATGTCCGCTTTATATTAAAAGAAAAAAAAAATATCAGGTTTGTTGAGTGTACATTGTAAAAAAAAAAAAAAAAAGGAGAAATGCAAAACGACGACACAGTTACACTCGTCGTTTGCAAAAACAAGAGGGAGGGCATGAGGCCATGTTGTGGAGATCACCTCCAAACAAAAAAATAATATACGATGTGGGGCCCATATCGTAGGCCATAGGCAGAAAGAACTAAAACCATACGTCGTTTTTGAGGCTTCCCACTCCAGTAATAATTGGTTCAACAGTCAAAAATGTAAAACCTACAGTAGTAAGTAAGAACCGTTCAGTTACCGTTGGTTAAAACAGTAAACTTATTCACTTTGTGGGGCCAGTTCGTTTGAGCAGCCCATTAGCCTATCTAATCAACAGGGCCCATCTCTTGTCTGAAGGATGCATACGCCTTTTTTTTAACAGCTACCCACCCACATTACCAACTCTAATCTACCCATCTACTGTACGGATTGATTTAACATACTGTATTTGATTCTTCAATACCCTATTTTGACTTCCTGTTGACTATGTGTTTAAAATGATTTTCATTCAAGGCCTTAAATCGTAAGCGAACAACAATTTTTGCGTACGTGTACGCTGGTAATTGGTGTACTGTGCGTTAAAATACTTTATTAATAAAATGTTCATCGATTGTAGCAAATCACCTTCACGGGAAGAAGAACAGAACAGTTCAAAACTTGAAAAGGTAAAGAAGGCAAAGAGTTGACTCCATGGATTCAAGAGACCGTGTCAGGCTTCTTCTCTAAGCGATCCTAAACCCCATTACAGATGTTACGTTGTTAATTTACAAATTAATAAAATCAAATTATTTTCTCTTCTTTTCTTTTTGGTAACCATATAAAATCCATTTTCTTTATAATACTATTTGGTCATATTAAACTTTAATTTTTTTGGAAACTACCACAGCTTCCGTTTTTTCTAACGTTAATACATATATAAATCTTCTTAATCAAAAAAAAATTAATACATAAATTGTTTAATTAAGGGTTTTGAAGAGCTTTAATTAGATTCTTCATTACAATTTATTTACTCAGAATCTCTTATGAAAAGTTTAAGAAAAAAAACTTTAAACCTTTTTCGTATTTTATAAAAAAGATTATGGTGTTTTTGAAAGGAAAAAACAAATTTCATGCTTTATTAGAAAAATTTCCTTATAATAAGTACGGTGTTGTAAGTTAACAATATATTTTCATCTAGACACAATCTTCGTTCTTCTGTACGCTCCATCTTTTTTTTTTTTTTTTCTCTGTCGCTAATAATAGACTAGGTGAAGACCCGCGTATACGCGGATTTATTATATTATTTATATTTTTTAATTTGTGTTTAATAAAATAAAAATTTTTCTATCAGTGTATAAGAGTTAACTTTTTATTTTTAAGAAAATTATCCTAACAAATACAACATAATTTGTGATAGAAGACATTTGAAGAATTTGTTTAATGTTCTCTAAACTAACTTAAACAAAAAAAAAAAGTGGTTTGTAATTTTGTGATGAGACCATATGTATTTATTAATAAATCTGTCATACTTTCATGTTCTTGTAAGCTCTTTGCCTTCTTTTCTAAAGTTGGCATCCATCTCCCACAAGCCTCAAAGTCATTCACCATGTGTTACCAACATTTTCTGATGGGATCGTTGATTTGACAAGATTAATAAGAAGACCGAACAAACCAATGATAACTGAAATATAGATTGATTTTTGCCCAATATATATCCAAAATTATCCCCCACAAAGAGTAAAACCTTTATCTTCTCGATTAAACAGATAATGATCATGACTTTATCCTTCTACTACTCAGGAGCCTATAATATGATGATAATAAAGTTTTTTCAAAAGAGATACAATCTCAACCAAGTTTTTATGAAATCAAAACTCTTGGCCTGAATAAATTGGTATGTATAGATAACATGTGAGCTAACTTAAATAATTCTAATTTGTCAAAATACAAGCAAGCTCTGTTTACAATATTATGTGATTATATTAACTTGCTATCTCAGAAGTGTTTTTTTTTTTTTTTCAGAATTGTCTATTTTATTTAAAAAATATATTCATGCCACGACAACCATACAAAATCTTGTGACCAATAAAAGGTAGTATCTAGATGCAACTTGGATAATATAAAGCATCTCTGTATTGTTATTCACTTTTTCAGTTAACTGAAAGAATTGCGTTATAAATCTATAGATATATCAACCAAAAAATATGGGTAGATGATAAGGAAGTACCTTAAGGTGATATGTGCATTCTGGTGATGTACCATGTGCATTGACTAAATTCCATTTTCACAATATTATGAGCAAGCGGCTAATATCATAGCATAGACTTCTAAAATATATCTATAATAAGTAATTGACTATAAGCCGTAAGTAAGATAATGTCAACCATAAAGAACATTAGATAACTTTTAAATTATATCAGGAAACTAAGAGAGAAAATATCAAACAACAAAATTGCTAGTGCGCATCTTATTGAGAAAATATATGCTTTTACCGAGGATTTTTAGCGATGAAACGTTTTTTTAAAGGAAAAGGAAGACGAAGAATTTAGAAATCGATTATAATACATAAATTAGAGATGACAAGTAGCTGATTTTAATTTGATTTTTTAAGCTGATATGTTTTAAGAAGAAAAGCTTATGTGTCAAGCTTGTGAGACTTAATTGAATCTTTATATAATAGATTATTAAAAAAATGAAAAAATTGTCAATAAAAAGCTAATCTTTTGCATATACATTATATATTTCGAGAAAATGCTGTCTGAACTTCGTTTATTAATAACTACAAGCTTTCTGAATAATCTCATGCAAATATATATATTAAAAATGATCGTGTAAGAGTTAAAACAAAAAATCCTAAGTTTATCGGAGCCATTGATACATCAATTTACGAAGAAAGAGTCAGAGGGAGAGACATTGCACTTTCTCTTTTTGTTAAACAAAGAAGACGGGCGCATTTGACCTCAATGTAATAAGGTTTGGAACTCGAGGAAAATATGGAAAGGAAAAAAATTGAAAGATTGCTTGTGAATCAGGAAAAGCAAATCTCACAAGCCTTTGAAAATGCAATTTCTTCTCAGTTTAAAATATTTATTATTTCTGACAAACTGGTATATATGATTAAAAAGTTATTTGTAATTGTATGTTTCTTCGTTAAGTCTTAACCACTAGTTATCGTACCAAAGGGAGCAAAACAAAAAATGTTTCTCAGTACGCTCCATCTTCCTATCTTGAATTTTTAAAAATCAATATAAACTAATGACTTTACAAATTAATTATTAATTAAATAGAGTTTTTATCCTATATTTCTTATTTGAAAATGAATACCAAACTCTCAGATGTTAAAATCTGTAGTTTTTGAAAAAATATGTATGAAATGTAGTAAGTACAAAGTGGAAGGGTAACGAAAACGATCAATAACTGCAGAATATTTTGGGCTTTGGAATGGTATATATTATTATTATGGCTGTCACTCTGCGGAGAAAGTGACATTTCCTTGTTTTTTTATTTATTATAAATGGCTTTGTAATCTTATATATAAAACTTGGCCAACTTTCTCCAGCTCCTTGCCACATCAACACTGGAGAAAGCGCCACCTGTCCATTTAAAATCTTAATGAAATAAACAATTAATCACATTTAAAGAAAAAGCATTAAAGAACATTAATAAATATTAATATGTATAACAAATGTATTTAAATAAATAAATTCAAATTTATTTTAAATATATCAAAACTTATAAATATTATATAATATAAAACTTTTTGAAATACATCATTCCATTTCTTCTTTTCAAGTGATTTAAACTACATTTTCAAACTAAAAGTATAATTAAATTTTTATGAAAGTGAAAAAAAATTATCAGACTGAATAAGTTAAGAAATTTTAAATAATCTTATATAAAACTCTAACTAATAAAATTATAACACACAAAATATTCAATAAATGATTAAAGAGTTAAAAACATTACTAAAAAATAATAGTAAAAAAAAAGTGGATACATAAAAATGTCATACAAAGTTTTTTAGTAATTTTTAAAAAGATGTAATCAATAAAATATATATAACCAAAAAAAATCAAAATGGTAAATTTTTCTATGAGCTATTACGTTTTTATATAAAAATTAAAATAGTAGATCTTTAGTCTCTCATTACCGTATGAAAAAAATTGGATTATTTGGTACAACCGGTGTGAAAGAGATTACAAATAATTTATCATCTAGAAGAAATCGGAAAATATAAATATTTTAAACGAAAAAACATTGATGGTAAAAATAAAATTCAATACAAATCTTATATATAAAAGACAATCAACTCTCTCCAAATGAGTGACACATCAGCAATGGAGAGAGTGACCTGTGGCACATCCAAAAATTGATAAAATAAATAATTAATTAAATTTAAAGCAAAACACATTAAAAACATAAATAAAGATTAATATATATATATTTATATATACATACATTAGAATACAATTCAAATTTAATTTAAATATAGAAAAACTTATAAATTATATAATACAAGATTTTTTAGATGCACTATTCTATTTTCTTCTTTCAAGTGATTTAATTTTTTTTTCAAACTAAAAATATACTAAATTTTAATGCAAATAAAAAAAATTAAGACTGAATAAATTACGAAGTTTCAAGTATTCTTATATAAAACTTCAACTAATAAATTAAAAAACACAAAAAATATTTAATAAATGATTAAAGAGATAACAATTATTAAAAAAAAATAGTATAAAGAAAGATGTGCACGTAAAAATATCATACATAAATTTAAATTAAAAAAATGGAATCAATAAAATATATATAACTAAAAAATTCAAAATGGTAAATTGAAAAAGTTAACAAGTATTATATTAGTAAGATTTACAAGAATAAAAAGAATATGAAGATCGAAGAACAAATAAATATTCTTTTCTGATATTAAACGTATATTTATAAGCGAATTATTACGTTTTCATATAAAATTTAAAATAGTATATTTTTAATCTCTTATTATTTTGGAAGAAAAATCAGACGATTTGACACAACCGGTGTAGAAGAGATTACAAATAATTATCATTAAAAAAAAATCAAGGAAAATATAAATATTTTAAACGTAAAAACATTGATAATAAATATAAAATTCAATACAAATTTTAAAAATATAGTATTTAAATATATATTAAAACAAGATCCGTGTATACCACGGGTTCTCTCCTAATTTATTTAAAAGGACTTTGTTCTGCACTGCACTGCAAAACGGAGATTTCGCCATCTTCTTTGTCACAATGTCAAGTTGCTCTCAATTCTTGGATTCTCTCCATCACATCCAAATCTTTCTTTTATATCTTTCCTCTTGTATTTCCCATTTTTTTCTTTTGTTTTTTTTTTTCCGTTTTTTGTTTGATTTGTTGTTTGACCCTCTTTTTAGCTTAGCTACCCATGTTCGTATTATTCACTTATTAATGTTTCTTAAATATGATGCTAACGTTACTATCATGTCTGAAATTCACAAGGGCGAATTTTAGGAATATACTATATTATATATGTATCTTCAAAAACTCAGAGTGCATACACACTTTTCGATGTTTTTTTTGGCTCAGCGCTAGATATTGTAGTCGGCTGATCGGCTCACATTTGGTTTTAATTACTGAAAAAGTGGTCAATTCGGGTTTCAAATCATACTTTTTCTCTGGTTAGACTAGACTACTTAATTTTGTCTATATATATTATACATCACTCTCTACATATCTATGAAAACATCAAAGGGAATATATGTTTTAACTATGTTTTTTTTCAGTCATTTTAGATTATTTACATATCGGATGTATTGCCTGTTGTATTATAAACTTGTAATGGTCCCTTATGGACACTGTATACGCATTGTTTACTTATATATATATATATCACGTGTATACATCTACATATACATCATGCATAGATGTAAAAATGTTATTCTGGACCACCGACCTCCTAAAGAAAAAATGATACCAATAATTATGTAATTAGTACTGTGGTTATTTGCTGGTGGGAGTTCCCGAACATTAAATGCTTTTAACTGGAATTTATTTGTCTGCACGCAATTGAATAGCAAAGTGGAAATTTAATGGCGCGAATGATGGTTTGATGATGCGTTTTGGAGTCACATAGGAAGACACGACAGTGTCTTGTGTCGTTTATTAGACATAGGGGGTAAAAAGTAAAAAAAAAATATATGATTCAAATAAAATCATTCGACAATGATGTAATATTTTCCCTCCGAACTGAACTATGTTCTATGCTGTTTTTTTTTAACGTACCGTTATGTCTGATGGGACCATTCTCATTTATTGCTGGACCCGTTTATTTTTAACCAAAATAAATTGGAATCGTGAAAAGAATTTAACAAAAAATATCGTGAAAGCAAAAATAAGGTACAGTTTTTATTTTGCTGTTTAAATGGTACAAAATTGGTGGTAAGAGTCCATGAGTGATGCAATGGACCGTTTGTTCAATAATCAGCTTGAAAACAATCGATGTATGATACTGGTAAGAATAAATACATATAGATATTGAGTTGGTACTATTGTGTAGTAATTATTAGAACACAATAATTAATCTATCAGAATGTCATTTATTTAATGCTTTAGAAATCCACAATCCTAGTATGAATCTAAAATGATGGGGAAGCATGCATTAAATACAGCAGGCTGGAAAGTCTTGACACGTGTCCATATCCATATGTGGTTGTATGAAAAGTCAACTTACTGCAATTCATTACCACCATCCTTTTGCTCTAATCAAACAAAACATTTTTATTTCTTCTTTTCTTTTTGAGAAAACGCTTTTAGCTCTACTAAAATATCTCATGGAACTTTACTGATTTACATAACTAATCAACCTTTTTCTTTTTTTACATCTTACTAAATGTCATTCAAGCTATTAGTTTATTGACTAATATTTTATCTATAAATCATGCAGATTTAGTAATTGGTTTTATACCCAATTAAATATATTTTTGAATTATTAAAAAAGGATTGAAACGATAATAATTTTGAATACTTCTTTCCCAATATAATCTGATCAGAAAAAGTTCACCAATAAATCGATTTGAATAAAATGATACATGATATACTGTAAAAAATGCAAAGAAGTAAATAACAGAAATTATGCGTTGTGACTTATCTTATATATATAAAAGTTGCTTAACTTTCTTCATATGATTGACATATCAGCAAGGAATAGGTTGACACATGTCCTTAAATTTTAATTAATAATTTTTAATATTAAATTTTAAAACACTTAAAGAATATGAAAAGTTTATTTTATTAATTGACTCTTAATTCAAATTTATATTAATGTTAAACAAAAGTTTATGTTATAACTAATTAAAAATATTGATAGATATGTATTTAATTTTTATATAATTGTATATTAGTTAATAATATTTAGATTACTTAATAATATTGAAGATATATTTTAAATTAATTTTTTAAAATTATTTATAATAAAATACTAACAAGTAACAAATGAAATGATGATTATATTAATTTTATTTTTTAATTAATTGACTATCAATTAATATTTCTGTAAATGTTAAACAAAATTTTATGTTATAACTAATTAAAAATATTAAATGATATTTATTAATCTTGATATAACTTTAAATTATTAAATAATATTCAATATGTATTAATATTTTATAATTTTTAGAATAAATATTAACAAATAAGTAAGTAATAAGTAATGATTATATTAATTTTTATAAAAATATAAAATAAAGTTTGAAAATTTTGAAAAGAAAAATTGGCACGTAACGTGCGGATATTCAAATAATAATAAAAAAGACTATTTTGTGGTCAAAAAACTAAAAATTCTAAACTCGAAGAAAACAATCTCTTTCTCCTTTTTGATCTCTATATGTGTAAGACTTAAAGGTCTGATTTTATTCAACATTTTTGTTTAATTTTACTAAGTTTGTATGTATGTATACATTAAATGTAATAATTGTTCAATATCTACATTTTTCGTTGTAATTAAACAACATAATAGATATCGTAAAATTTAAATTAACAATAATTATTTATATAAGACAAGACATTATGTTATGTACTTATGTTTAAAGGATGCTTACCTTTTTTTGTCGGCAAAGGGTACTTACTTACAACATCTATTGAACAGTCGAGAAAATAATTTTATCAAAATAGTTGAAAATCGTGATGCTTTTTTTTTTTTTCTTACATTTGAATGAATAATTTAATAGTCACTTATAGAGGGAAGGGGAAGGAAGAAAAGGACACGCATGCAAAATGAAGGCAGACCAAAGAAAGGGTAAGAAAAAGCAAACTGACGAAGCTTAATAAAACTTTCACCTTCCCCATTGTTTGTTCACAGAAAAAGGGACCAACAGATAAATTAATAATACCAAACCAAGAGAATTTTTATTTATTCATTCCTTTTTTTTATATTAATGCAAAAGAGAATATTATTAAGTAGCGAAATTCAAGACTTAAAAGAAGCAGAAGAAGAAGAACAACAACAACACGCGAGAAAATCCAGATCTTTCCCTCTCTCTCTCTCTTTCCGCATCTCACTTTTTCCATCCTCGAAGAACCCTTTTCTTGCCCTCTACTTTCTGTGGAAATTTCGTATTCTCGCTTCTTCGTTTGTTAATTTAACGTGGATTCCGATCGTTTGGAGTTACTGGAATCGGAGAGATCGTATTTCGTCAAGGTAAATTTCAGAGTTTAAAAGTCCTTTCTTTATTATACTGTTCGTCGGTGGGTATGTTCACTGTTTCCCGAGATTCGAGTGTGAGATCCGTTTTGTTTTCTATCGGCATTGCTGCGATTTCAAGCGGTTTTAAAGTGTCGGTGAATCATTGAGAGAAAGAGGAGGAGCTTCGTGGTTTTCGTTCTCGATGCTCCTCTCCTCTGACTACTGTTTCATTTTTAACGGTTTCGTCTCTTTTAAAGTTTCGAGATTGCATTTATGGCGAGCTAAAGTAATGCGTTTTTTTTTCTTTTGTTTGTTTTAGGACAAGACAAGTGTAGATAAGACTTAAATGCAGAGAAATCGAGTGAATGTATTCATAAGCCCCACTTTAAGAGCAGATCTGGAGCTTTCACTAGGATTCTGCTAATTTCGTATACTAAGCTGGTAGAAATTATCAAGAAGCACAAAAAGGTTAGGTTTTTTCGTTCTATGTTTTTTTTCTTTTTGGTGGTAATGGCTGAGGCAAATATCTTGTGGGGGATACTTTACTTCTTATGTTCACGGGGAATCTCCGCTTTGGAGTTTATGGCCGTGTAACATGACCTTTAATGCCATCACAGGAAGATTCAGTGGCAAACATTTAATTGGAAAAACTCAAAAAAGAAAAGATGATTCTTGATTTGATATCTCCTACTTTGTATAACCGTTGCCTTCTCTTTCTCCAGGTTTGTTTTGTCTCATAAGTGATGGTGCAATAAGTCACATGCATGTCCTCTGAATCCGCGTAGCATCAAGAAACTTTCCCTTTGAATTGATGATGTCAGGTAAATTTTGTTGTTTGTTCTCCATTTATGTCTGATTGATAGATATTGAGACTTTGCAGATACTTACTTTGATTTGTCTATTTGAAGGAGTTGAAGAAAACGGAACCCTTGAGGAAATTAGGGAGAGAAGATCAGACTTTGAAATCTCGGAAGATGAGAGGCGGCGCTCCAAAATCGGGAATTTGAAGAAGAAAGCGATTAATGCTTCCACCAAGTTCACTCATTCTTTGAAGAAAAGAGGGAAAAGGAAAATTGACTATCGGATTCCTTCAGTCTCCATCGAAGATGTACGGGATGAAAAAGAGGAAAGCGTTGTGCTTGAATTCCGCCGCAACCTTCTCGAGAGAAACTTGCTGCCTCCTAGACATGATGAGTACCATACTCTTCTGAGGTTAGTTTGTCCTTATTTAGCAGCTACATAAACACTCTGGTCGCTTGAAATAAAAATGTGAGTAGTTGTATATAAAGTGGAGCTAACTAACCATTCATTTTGAAAATCTAGATTCTTGAAAGCGAGGGATCTTAACATTGAAAAAACTATCCAGATGTGGGAAGAAATGCTTAGATGGAGAAAAGAGTATGGGACAGATACCATACTAGAGGTAAGCAGTCATAGATTTAAGTTTGACTCCAGCTTCTTTGTTGTTCCATATAAAAGAGAGAAGTAATTTTCGTGTTAGTCAATGGATTCAACATCAAGCTCTTATGTTCTGATAATTCTATGCATTCGGATGCTAGGATTTTGATTTCAAAGAGCTGGAAGAAGTTCTGCAATATTATCCTCAAGGGTATCATGGAGTTGACAAGGAAGGAAGACCTGTCTACATTGAAAGACTTGGAAAAGCTCATCCCGCTAAGCTTATGCGTATCACCACCATAGATAGATATCTCAAATACCATGTGCAAGAGTTTGAGAGAGCTCTCCTTCAGAAATTCCCTGCATGCTCGATTGCAGCCAGGCGTCGAATTTGTTCCACGACTACAATACTAGATGTGCAAGGACTGGTACTTATTCAAGCTATTCCCAAGTTTTGGAATTTTTCTTGCACTGTATTATGCTCTGAAGCAAAATTTACTTTTTTAGCGCTTCCATATTCTTAGCTGTGCAGTGTCATGTTTAATCACAGGGCATGAAGAATTTTACACCAACAGCTGCAAATCTTGTGGCTGCCATGTCGAAGATTGACAACAACTACTATCCTGAGGTACTTGAGTTTCTCAATTCATATGTCAATTATTCTTTGCATACATACCGGGTTGTTGCAAGTCATCATATCATTTTGCAGACGTTGCACAGAATGTACATTGTAAATGCTGGGACAGGTTTCAAAAAGATGCTTTGGCCTGCTGCTCAGAAGTTTCTTGATGCAAAGACCATCGCAAAGATACATGTACAGCTTTCAGCCTAGTTTTTCTCTTTGGTCAACTTTTGCCATGTGTACGTTATCTTATTTCTGTTGCTGCAGGTGCTAGAACCTAAATCTTTGTCCAGATTACACGAAGTTATTGATTCAAGGTAGTTTGCTTTTCCATTCAAACCGCACCTGACAAATTTCAAATATCATTTGTAGCTATTACTTACCAGCTCCATCGCTCTGTGCTTTTAGTCAATTGCCAGACTTCCTCGGAGGCTCATGCTCTTGCTTTGGCGATGGAGGGTGTCTTCGCTCGAATAAAGGACCCTGGAATGATCCTGAAATAATGAAGGTAAAAATCTACATCCTATTAAATTTTGCTTTTAAATTTTTGGGCACGCTGTTCTTTCCTTACGAACTTTTAAGTAGGAGTCAGCTTATAGTCCGGGCTTGTTCATGAAGATCATTTTAAATCTGTGCCTTTATTAGCTCATCTATCATGGAGAGTCATCACTCTTTAGACAAATCACCAGGAAGCTGAGTGACCCACAGAATTCTTCATCCTACATAAGTATACATCCATCGAAGGTAAATGGCTATATCAAGCCAATATCTGTTTGTTTTGGAATTTTTGTTTTTTTTTTTGTTTTTTCCAGGTATATATGACAAATTCAAATTTGAATATCAGGCTATGCAAGCTGAGACTTCTGCAGCAGAATGTGTATCTTGTTCTGATGTTCCTACTTCTCTAACTGGAAGGGTGTGCGCAGCCTCTGCTCATGTGAATCCAGCTTATGAGGAAGTGAGTTCTTGTGTTGGTACATTTTGTGTCACAGACCACACTAGTTATCTTATCACTGACCGGAAAAATATGATCTATGCAGGCAAGGGCATCAGATGTTAATGGCTATTATAGTTGCGATGACAAGTTTGCCATACCTAACAAAGCTACTAACCGAAAAGGCCAAGAAAGGCAATCCCACTACCAAATGCTGGAACTCAATCAAACAACACTCGGTTTAAAACATGAAACATCTCCACCAGGTTATACTGCTAACTCATGCTTTGCTGCTAAAAACATATTCCTTTGTAATTTTCTCACCTTTTGAATTTCATCTTCCCTCTGGTACCTTCCAGGTGCTCCCATCATACGATGGCTTCATGATTTAAGGGGAACAATTGACAGCATAAAATCTGAGAACCTAGCCAAAAGGGTACTCTCGTTTATGCTGAAACTAGCAGCAGTTTTCCGTTATATCCCGTTTGAGCTTTCGAGAAGACAAAACACCGTTACTCCTTCAAACCCAACAGAAGATAATAATAGGAGAAGCCTCATTCCAACTTCTACAGAGCTCACAATGAAAGACCGGATTCTTCCGTGTTTGGAGCGTATTCAGAAGCTGGAGAAAAAGTATGAGGAAATCCGGAACAAACCCGTTGAAATTCCCGTAGAGAAGGAGAGAATGCTGTTGGATTCTCTTGACAGAATAAAATCGGTTGAGTTTGATCTTGTTAAAACAAAGAGGGTATTATGATTTTCCTTTGTTTTTCTTCACAAACTTACTTAGAATTACAGTATGGACTTGACATGTTCGATGGTTGCAGGTTTTGCACGCCACAGTGATGAAGCAGATGGAAATAACCGAAATGCTGGAAAGTTTAAGAGAGTCCCAACTTCACGTAAGTCCTCGAGATTATGACGCTATAGTGAACAAGATTTGCGATGAGCTAACACCTGCAGATTGTTGTTTGTGCAGAGAAGAAGATTGTTCTGTTAGAAACCATTAGAGAACATCTGAGTTTTGCATAAAATACAGCTCCAAACTTCTGCACATACAGAGAGAGAAAAAAAATCCAATAAACAAACGGTGTTAGTTTCTTAATCTCCTTCCTCCTCTAACTTCTGTTATCTTTCTTTCCTCATAGGTCCATCTGCTTCCACTTTTAAATTAAAAAAGAAGAAGATAGGGACAGTGAAAATCTTTGATGTTCGATCTTGTCGTTGATAATGTAGATTGAGATCAGAGTTGAAGTATCAAGCTGATTTCCAAACCCTTTTGTTGTAATCGGTGTAGAGAAGAAACTACACTAGAAGAAAAAAAAAGAATCGTATGAGATTTTGTAAATCTTTTTTAAGGTAATATGATGAGGAAAACACTACCGAGTCTCTAATGTCTTTACTCTATGAAGAGAATCCATTTGTTTAACATGAACGCAACAAGAAACAAAATTGTGAATGGTTATACTATAATCATGTAGTACGATTATTTAGGAATCTGGTGCATCTTGTAGTTGTTATAGGTAGATTGTGTAAAATATTTACATAATTCCAAATATCCGAATGCAAATGATATAAAAGTCAAATCAGCCCTCGTAAACTTGATTGAATACGAGAGACACCCGAATTATGGAAGGGTAAGATTGTAAACAAAGGATGATGAAAGTGTAAGGAATTTTAAAATCGGGGAAAAATCGGGACCGTCCTTTTCCACTGATGTAAGCCTGTGAACGAAGAAGATAAATTTCCCTGTCTTCTCTCTCTCTCTCTCCTTCTCCGTTCTTGTTTTCTGAATTCGCTCGAAATCGATCTCAACGCCAATCCAATGATGTTTTATATTCGACCCCAAACTTAAATTTAGAAACCACAATTTCTCGAAGTCAATCCGTTTTCATTTTCACGAATTGCATCGCCAGGTGAATTTGTTGATCCTATGTTTTGTACGCCTTTGATTGCCATGTTGCTGAGTTTTTGGAATCGTGCTCCGCTTTTGTTCTTAATTCGATATCACGATTGCTTACGCATGTGCGGGTTTTCATTTGGTTTCGCTTTTCCCTCCGCGGCTTTGTGAATTTGAACTTTTAGTGCGTCGTAGCCGAATCAGGGGCTGTTTTCTTCGTTTCGTGTGGGATGAGGCTACGATTTTAATATTGAACTTGGGAATACACTTTAATCTTTGTCCAGAGGGCTCCTAGTACCTAAGCGCTTTGCTTGTTGGATATTGTTACTCTCTGGCATATTGTCTTGACTATGAATTCGCTAGATCTTGTTTTAGATGTTGCAGCTCAAGCAATATGTACAGATAGTTATGGTCTTTTGAAGTCTTACCTAAGATAGTGTCTTTATATGTTATTGTTCACTTTAGGTCCCTATTTTGAGCCTCATCCTTGTGAGTAGGAATATTAAGCTTCCTACTATTGTAGCTTCTGTGGTCCCTTGCTTTGAGAGTTCAGTAATAGAGGTACTTTTCTACATGTTAAGGCCCTGTTTATCAACTAAAAAAAATGTCCAATTACCACCAAGAGGAGGATGCTGATTACATGGACGATGTGGATGATGAAATGGATGATGTGGTTGACGATGATATAGATGACGAGTTTCGCGGGGATGATATGGTTGCATCGGATTCCGATGTCGACGAGTTTGACTACTCAGTAAGTGTGCCTGTACCTGTAAGAAGTCTATTAATGTAAATTTATTTGTGCCATTCTTGAATGCTTTATGTGAATTGTATAGCTAATAATAATATCGGTTCATAATTAGGAATTCAGTTTTTTTCGATGTTGTTGCAATCGCTTACTCTACTGTGTGGACTCTTTGGTTTCAGAATAATAAAATAGCTGACACTTCAGCTGATCAAGCCCGGAAAGGGAAAGACATTCAGGGGATTCCTTGGGACAGGCTTAGTATTACACGTGAGAAATACAGACAAACTAGACTAGAACAGTACAAAAACTACGAAAATGTTCCCAATTCTGGGGAATCCTCGGGGAAAGTAAGTCTTTCATTCTCTGACCCTTAAGCCTTTGTCGACTTGTTTTACTAGTATTAGTTTACATATCATTCATTCATTTGTTTAATGACCTCAGGATTGCATGGTCACGCAGAAAGGGGCCATTTTTTATGATTTCTGGCGGAATTCAAGATCTATCAAATCAAGTATTCTTCATTTCCAGGTTACCATCGAAGCATAGCTATTTTTGTTATTCAAAGTTCTTTTTGGTAGCTCAGTCGGTATGCCATGTGTTTGGTTTATAGGATGTACAAATTGCTACAACTGTCCACAAAAGTTGAAAGAAATTGATTCGTAGAACGTTTGCTGTGCTAAAAAGCATGTACGTGGACTTCTAATAAAAAGTCGTTTTCTTTGGTTTGTAGTTGAGGAATTTGGTTTGGGCAACTTCTAAGCACGATGTCTACCTTATGTCACAATTTTTGGTGAGCCACTATTCTACTTTGACATCTGGAAAGCATGAAGTTCTCAATGTTCAAGGTCATGTTTCCCCATCCGAGGTTAGTTTCTTCTGGAATCGTGAAAGATTCTTGTAAATCTACATCAGTTAATGATGATTTTTTCTTTCTTTTCTTGTGTGGGTGCAGAAACACCCTGGAAGCTTGTTGGAGGGATTTACGAAGACTCAAGTGAGTACACTTGCAGTGAGAGATAAATTTCTAGTTGCTGGCGGATTTCAAGGAGAACTTATCTGCAAGGTAAGCTCTAGAGTTTTACGAATCATGCATTTCACATACATGCAATCTGATCAAGGAACTTCATCTGTTTCCCCATTGATTTGATTCAGCACCTTGATAGACCTGGTGTGAGCTTTTGTTCACGTACAACTTATGATGATAATGCTATCACCAATGCAATTGAGATTTATAACAAACCCAGGTATTTACTTGTCTTTTGGTCGATGTAGTTTTTGCCAACTTGGGCAATTTACAGCTTCTAACTTGCCTTTTGGCGTCTGCCTGGCTTCAGTGGAGCGCTTCATTTTACCGCATCAAATAATGATTGTGGAGTCAGAGATTTTGATATGGAGAGATATCAGCTTGTACACTATTTTCGCTTTCCTTGGCCAGTGAATGTAAGTTCCTTACTTGTTTCTTGATTCATTGTTTCTGCTTTGTCATAAGTCGATCAGTCACACTTGGGACAGTAAGTTTAAGTCATAACTACGGTATGGAATCTGACATCTTTTACATCATGAATCATTTAACTAAAAAATGGATCATTTTTTATTCTTGTCAGCACACATCTCTGAGTCCTGATGGTAAATTATTGACGATTGTGGGAGACAACCCGGAGGGCCTTCTCGTAGACCCCAACACGGGAAAGGTGCAGATACTATCATCTCTATGTTCAATTACTATGAAATAAATACGCTCTTTCTTTCTAACTCAATTGGATCATTTCCGACAGACACTGGGAACGCTAGCAGGACACTTGGACTTTTCCTTTGCATCGGCATGGCACCCAGATGGGGTCACATTCTCCACAGGTAACCAAGACAAGACATGCCGGGTTTGGGACATACGTAACCTGTCTAAATCTGTTGCTGTCTTGAGGGGTAACCTCGGGGCAATCAGATCCATCCGCTACACATCTGATGGGAGATACATGGCCATGGCTGAGCCGGCAGACTTTGTGCATGTCTATGACGTCTCAAAAGAGTATGAAACAGAGCAAGAGATCGATTTCTTTGGGGAGATCTCGGGAATATCCTTTAGCCCTGACACAGAAGCGCTCTTCATCGGTGTTTGGGACCGCACTTACGGTAGTCTCCTTGAGTATGGTCGGCGCCGTAACTACTCCTACCTTGATTCATTTCTTTAATCATTCACTCACAATAATAAAAGAGCGTTCCTCACTCTCCCGTGGCTGGCTTTGTTCAACCGAGAAACCCGACCAAGAGAAAACGTTAAAAAGTGTATAACTGAATCTCTCTAATGGTGTAAATGATGTGTTGTGCAATTACTAGTTAAGGGCCATGGCTATGGGTATAGAAAAGAAACATTTGCCTGAGCCCATTTTTTAATAAAATTTTGAAGACTCCATTTGATTAATTGCTAATTTTTAAAATTTTCAATTGAGTTTTGTTTACATTAGCAACTAATTAAAAAGATTAATTTAAGTGGAGTGAATAGAAATTAGGCGCATTTGTTTTTGCAAATCTTGTCCCATGGCAAGTCTGAGCGTTTGCATCTATATCAATTAGATATGGATTAAAACTAACAAAAGAGAAAGTAAGGCGTTGAAAGAAAAACCGTGTAAACTACGAGGGCTTCAACAAAAACTATATGACTGAAAAATCTCATAATCCAGAAAGAACCAACGAGATAATGCCACATCATCAACCCGAAATCGTATCCTCACAAACAAAATCCTGTTTCGTCTCCTGATGACCCAGAGAAGCCAAAACCGATCCCTAAGATCATAAATCCAAAACCACTCATTTCTAATTTGCACTCCAAAAGAAGAAGAAGAAGAAGAAGAAGAAACAATGGCGACAAGTGCATCTGCTTTGCTCTCTCCTTCAACATTCTCCACTGCAATCTCCCAGAAAAACCCAAACTCCATCTCATTCCATGGCCTCCGTCCTCTCCGCCTCGGTGGCTCCTCCTCCGCCTTACCCAAGCTCTCCACCACCACCGCCGGAAGAAAATCCTCCTCCGCCGTCGTGAGAGCCGAGCTAAGCCCATCCGTCGTTATAAGCCTCAGCACGGGTCTCTCCCTCTTCCTCGGCCGATTCGTTTTCTTCAACTTCCAGAGAGAGAATGTGGCCAAACAGGGCTTGCCGGAGCAGAACGGTAAAACCCACTTCGAAGCCGGCGATGATCGTGCCAAGGAATACGTCAGCCTCTTGAAATCCAACGACCCGATTGGATTCAACATCGTCGATGTTCTTGCTTGGGGCTCTATTGGCCACATCGTTGCTTACTACATCTTGGCCACTTCTAGCAATGGCTACGATCCCAGCTTCTTTGGCTGATATTCATTATTCTCCAATCTCTGTCTCCTATATGAATGTATATCTTTGACTTGTATCGCAAGCTATCTAATATATTCTCTATCTTTGTTTCTTCTTCTTCTTCTTCCTCCCGTCGTTGTTGTGTCTTGTCCAAGGTTTCTCTCTCGCGTTGCAACTGTTGTTATGATTAATTTTGCCATTCACAAAGACTGCTTAGGTTCTTCACCTTATGCTGGTTTAAGTCCAACATTAGCAGCCTAGCACAAACTACATGCATTTCATTACTACAAACGATTTTATGGGTAATAACATGTCTTAGAAACTTATAAGTTGGCCAAATGTTCAAAGAAAACAAAACTCATGTAATGTAAAAGTTGCCAAGAACCTATGGCCAAGTCTACAACTTATTGATTAAATTAAAGTTCTCAAACAGAAACACAAAAACAGAGAGATCAAAAGTTACAAACAGAGAAGACAACAACAGAGAATCACTTAGAGACCCGGCTCAGCCACATTTTCAGCTGCATCAGTAGCAGCTGCACTTTCCGCCGCACAAGACTCAATGAAAGATTTGTATTCGGACATCTCTGTGCGATACCTCTCCACATCCTCAAGCCCTTTATCTTGATAAACCTGTTCAAAAAATCATTATAAACAGATCCATTTTAATCTCATTTAAGATAAAAAGAAACTTGGAATCCTCATGGAAAAGAGAGAGTTTTGATTTACGTTTCTGTGTTACCTTTCTATCAGATTCAGAGAGATTGCTCCACAAGTTCCCAATTTCTTTAATGAGAAACCGCTCTCGTCCGGCGTACTCATGTTTAAGCCTCTTGTACTGCTCGGAAAAGAAGAAGTTATAGCCGCTCCTGTGGAACTTGGGTCGACGAGAATCCATCTGAGATGATTTTGATTTCTTCTTGCGTCTTCGAGTTTCAACACAAGTTTCAGGAATGTGGTAAAGCACTCCTTTAAGCTCTTCTGAGCCCATCTTCATGGTTACAAAATACCCGTCCTTGAATTTCCCATCGATGATCCCGTTCACCGGGCAGCCAGGTTGCAGTTCCTCAGTGTCTGTGACAGTTTCAGAATGCAAAATCTCAAACACTCCAAAGCTTGATAAAAATGGTTAAGTATAAAGGCAAAATATGAAACTCAAGAAACATATGGAAAAAAAATAGCGACTTTAATTAGCAGCTGAACTACATTGAAAGCTTCAAGTATTTTAGTACCTTTGTCATGATGTGCAGATTTTTCGACAAGGCGCTTCACTGCTTCTTCTGAGAAAAAAAAAGGGAGAACGGTGGCTATGTTAATCTCGAGTCTCCATGGAGAATTAGAAAGAGGCATATAAGAAAAAACATTATTATTTTTGGGTATTTGTTCAGACCTCTCGCCGAGAATGAAGAAATTGGCTCTTGGAAGAAATACACATGCTCAAATTCAAAGAGCATTTTCAGATAATACTTCTTTAAAACAAATGCTGCATTTGTCATCTTAAAATTAAATGTTCCAATCACTTCTTTGCATTTGCGATCCTTGATCACCTAAGAATCAAAAAGGATTTAAAGAAAAATTTGTATGTAAACAACAAAAAAAAAAAAGAAGAAAACTTCAAAAACTTTCATGTTCAGTGGAACTATGAACTCAGATACCTGTTCAATACCACCTCGACTTGTGACCTCGACGAAAAGCCGATGCAAATCGAGTCTGTTTCCGCCCACAATAGGAATCCTTTACAAATCATGTACAAAAGGCAAAATCATTGACAGTTTTCTTTTTTCCTCCATGAAATGAAATAAAATCTTCTTCAATAAAAAAAAAAAAAAAATATAGAGATCCACTGAAGCACAAACAAACATACCCACCCAAAGAAGATATTCATGATAACCACAACAACACATTTTAAGAACTCCTTTTCAGAGCCTACCATTACTAGATTCTAATATAAACCAAATCCAGTCTGATTCTAAACAGTTCAAGAACTAAATGGATCCAATGTAATAAGACATACATATTCCCGAATATAATTCCATTAATTAAACCCTGATTAACTACTGCACCCAAATCTATCATCACCCTTGCAATCTAAACAAAATACGAGTTTTAAACAACCACCACACGGCGGATTACGAACAAAAATCTCTAATAAATACACAGGAAAATCATTCAAATTTTAATGCAGACTAGGTTTTTCTCCATCCACGATTGTAGTAAACCAATAATTTCTTATAGAAACGCAAAATCCACAAAAAAAAAATATATATATATATATATAGAAGAATCGTCGATCTAAAAAACTTACTTCAAAGTTCTGTCAGAATATCCGAGAAAATCCCGGAGCTTGTCCCAGAAAAGATCAGAGTTCCGGACAAGATCCTCGTACGTAGCAGCGGGAGAGGAAACGTCGATGCTCTTGCTGTCTGAAGAGGAAGAGCCATAAGCGGGAACTAGTTGGAATTGCGAATGCTGTGAAATTTCGGTCGACATCAAAAATTCTTTTTTCTTTTTTGGCGGGCGGTTAAAAGGTTGAAATGAAAAGATGTTGCTAGCTAATAACCTTCAAGTTCAATGGTAAAAATTAACTTCATACATGATTATATTCTACCAGTGAGAATTTATTAAGGGAAAGCAATGCAATATTTTCTTCTTATCTGGAATTAGGGGCTAATATGTATTATATAGAGTTTTTCTTTTTTTCTCCACCAATTATAAATTTACTTTTCTTGATTGATAAAGGGTATTCAATTAAAATGCAAGTAAAGATTACACAAATAAATTTACTTCATTTCTTTTTTTAAATAGTCTATATACGCGTATAAATTTAAGTTTATAACTAAAAATAAGATGTTGAATAACGATTTTTGGCAATAATTTTAAATGTAGTCAATCAGATAAATATTTACCGAAGCCAAGTGAATTATTTTATAAACTAGAGTTTGACTCCGCGCTTTGCGCGGATTTATTTTATATTCATATTTTTATATTTTATATGTTATTTTTTAGAAAATAATTTATTTGTTAGTTGTCTTTTCTTAGTTTAATATTTTTTATGTTTGTATTGTATTAACATGCATGTGTTTTCTTATTTCTCTTTATTAGTGATTATGTATAACAACATATTTCTTTTAATTATAATTATGTTATTAACTTCTATTTAAATAAATTTTCTTGTTCAAAAACTCTTCTGTTAATATTTTATTTCTTTTACTTTTATCTTTTGTCTGTTATTATTGTGTGATTCTAATTACAGTTTTAAAATTTACTTTTATTTTACACCATCTCAATTTTTTTATAAATTTTGTTAACTTATGTTTAATTTTAATTTATTTTTCTATTATATGTTATATGTTACTATTTTGTAGTTTTAATTGAAAATCTTTTAACATTAAAATTATTGTGTGAGAAGTTTATATCAAATTCTAATTTATTTACCACTTTTTCTTCCCAAAATTTAGCATATTTTAAATATTTTGCTTCTTTAAATCCATTTTAGTATTACAATTTGATGAAAATAATTCTCAAGCATGTGTTTTTTAATAAAATATTTTTAGTTCAGTTAGTATTACAATTTTCTTTAATTTTTAATCCAGTTAATTTTTTTATTTGGTTAAACTTATACTAAATATACTAATAATAAATATAAATAGAGATGTATTAATTTTTTTGTTGATGTGAACATCTTAGATGGAGAGAAACCTCTTTCATTATATAATAGATTATAATTTGCATTAAAAAATAGCCATTTTATTTTTATTAAAGCTAGTGTTTTTATTAAAGCTAGTGTATCATTTTTAAGAAGAACATTTTGTTAATTTATCTTACTCCATTTAAGTAATTCTTTATTCAAACCCACGTACACCTCTTCATATATGGCTTCTTCCATATGATCAAATTACTTACAGTTTTATATCCACAATCACAACTTATCTGAATCACTTCATTTGGGAAGTGTGCTGTAAGATGTTTTACATGTCATCCACGTTATCGCGGTTTACTGGAGTTAGAGTGGATTTGGATGGTTTCTAACTTTCGATTTGATAGAAATTAAGATTTATAAACATTCTTTTCTCGGATTTAGTATATATAATTAGTACATCAGAATATAAGTTTCCCTTGATCCTCGCAAGGATCAAAAAGCATGAACAGGAGCTTCATAGCCATATATCCCTCTGCCAAAAGAGATGAGCAGAGGTCTACAAGGAGAACATCAATGGCTTACAGGATGATACAGAAAACATAACTAATAAGCTTTTGAACGATCCGAGCGTACTGAATAACAAAAACACCAACTGAGAATATATCAAGTTTATGACTACAATGTTCCTATAAGAAGACTAATAAAGACTACAATGAGAGGAGCTGGTATACCTTTCTTGCAGCCAGCTTTGAAAGATGTTCACTCTTTGATCCGGTACACACCTAAAATTGGACGGCATACAAATGCTACATTAAAACAGAACATGGTATATCAATCCATATGAGCAAAAGTGACCAAACATGCTATAAACCTGTATATAACATACCATTTTCCCACAAGCAAAAATTGTTAAGTTGTGGTATGCCATACCATAAGCTATGGTATTGTCAAATTATGGTATATATGGCATACCAGTCCATGGCTTAACAAATATCAACGCTGTGGTCTTTGGCTCTCTTCTCCTCATGATAACAGCAGCAAAACGCTCAAACATGAAAAAACAAAAAAGATTAGAGCAAATTTGAGAATACAAAGAAAGTAGTACAAGTAGCTATAGCCAATCAATAATGAGAAAGGTAAAATCATCAGACCAATTATCTCCATTTTTGTAACCATATATGCTTACAATGCTTTGAGATCACTTACACTTGAAAAAGCACTGAAAATATATCAAGTTTGTGACTACAATGTCCTTAATTAAAAGAAGAAAATCAGACTAAAATGAGAGGAGCTGGTATAATCTAGACCCTAAACCTCTTTTCTAAAACTGTTTACACCTCTTCTAAAATTGATATTTATCTATTATTTGTTTGTCAATGCACGGAACTGGTGCAAAGCTCCTTCACTCTAGTATACTGCTACTTAACATTTAGCTGTAATCGGGTGAAGTTGATCAACAAAAGTTCATACTAGGTTCCTGGGATCTTTTTCGCTCACTCTCTTTGTCCCAGAGTTAAAGCGGCTTATTAATGCCTCAACTGCATGTAATGGTACCGATTAGTGCTTGTACAATTTTGTTGTGCCTACACATACCTGAACTATTAATAATGTGAATATTCATACCTGAACTCAATTTTTTTTTGCTGAAACATACATTGACTTTTTAATTGTTAGTCAATTCCGTCAATTTGTTAATGGAGCTGAGTCATTTGCCACGCTGGAATCTCCGTTAGACAGATATATATAAAACGATGTCGTTTTGAATTTAAAAAAAATTTAAAAAAGGTTTAAAATTCCAAGAATCGATTCTTGTATCTCGCTCCAAGAAAAATGCCCAGTAACCACTACACCACATATTGTTTTCAAAATTAAAGCGCACCATCAAATATATGTACTAGGCGTAAAAAAAATCTCTAGTAAAATCTCTTTCTTTCTCTTTCGCCAGTGACTCGCGACAATCAGGTCTGAATCATCCTGAGGTGTGAATCCATGTCAGATGTAAATCAAATGAAATCGTTGAAACCCAGATAAAAAATCCAAATTTTTCAACACCCATCTTAATCCAACAAGAGAAAAATTTGGAATTTACACAGATTGGGAGAAAGATTCAATCAGAAAAACCTGGAATTTTTTCTTTGGGCTGGTTTTGTTTGTGGGTTCTATGATCTAATTTTGTTTAATTTGAAGAATAGTTTACATAATTTAAAGATTATTTCCTTTTTTGGTTGAATCTCGGTTCGAAAATCACGAGAATCTAGGTCAAATCTAGATCTTTTTCCTTTCTAATAGCTAATAGCTGTGTAAGTATTAAAATATGTAATATTTTGCTTAATATTAATAATTGTAAGTGGCGTATCGGTAGCGTAGCTTGAGTTGGTGGAGGACCACGGTTCAAATCCCCTCAGATTTGAATAACTTTTTTTTTAATTTCAAAACATCATCGTTTTATAAATATATGTCTAACAGAGATTCCAGCATAGCAAGTGACCCAGCTCCGTTAACAATTTGATGGAGTTGACTAACGATTAAAAAGTCAATGTATATTTCGGCCAAAAAAAATTGAGTTCAGGTATAAATAATCATATTATTAATAGTTCAGGTATGTATACACTAATCGGTACCATTACATGTAGTTGAATAAGCCGTTTTCCCGAGTTTTGTATGTACCCTATAGCCTAAAAAAGACTCGAATAGACGTGGACCATTCTACCCTTGAACTCTCACCTCCTTTGTCTCCTCTCGGCCTGCTCTTCCTTCTCGTAATCAATCGTCAAATTCAGATGGAATTCGCAGAGATCTAGATCCCCACCAAGTTGCTTAATCTTCGATAGTTTGATGGGTTTTTGCGATGATGGGAACCCGAGGCCCCTGGTGATATTTTCGTCTTTGGATTTAGGTTTATCGAGTCCGGTCAATTTCTTTAATGTGGCAGAGAGATGATGAAGAGGCGTCAATGTTGGATTGAGCTTAAATATGAACTCTGTAATCCATTCCGGCACAAGTGTTGTCCGTAAAGCTTCTCACTTTCTCTCAGTCTCGAGGAAATTCTTCTGCGATGGTAGTAGCATCGTTGGTGATGAAACCGATAATGGTATCGAAGAGCCTTTGAAGGTAACATGGGAATCTTCGGAGATGGATTGTGGGTTTGCCGAGGAACGTAAAGAAAGCTCCGGTCTTGAGGAAACCTCTGTTAGGAGAAGGTTTTTGGAAGGTGCTAAGCTCGGTGCTTCCCAGGTTCTCAGTACTTTACAGCAAGATTGTCCCGGATTCAATACGAAATCAGCTTTAGATGAGTTGAATGTTCCAATCTCAGGACTTTTGGTGAGAGAGGTTCTTGTTGGGATTCTAAAGACTCTGAGCTTTGATAACAAGACAAGGTGTGCTAAGCTAGCTTACAAGTTTTTTGTGTGGTGTGGTGGACAAGATTGTTTCAGGCATACGGCCAATTGTTATCATCTACTTATGAAGATCTTTGCAGAGTGTGGTGAGTATAAAGCCATGTGCAGGCTAATAGACGAGATGATCAAAGACGGTTATCCAACAACAGCACGCACTTTCAATCTCTTGATTTGCACATGCGGCGAGGCAGGCCTTGCAAGAGAAGTCGTGGAGCAGTTCATAAAGTCGAAAGCTTTCAACTACAGGCCTTTCAAGCACTCGTACAACGCGATTCTGCATTCGTTGCTAGGTGTGAAACAGTACAAGCTGATTGATTGGGTTTACGAGCAGATGCTAGAAGACGGGTTTTCACCTGATGTTCTGACTTACAACATTGTAATGTTTGCAAGCTTTAGGTTAGGAAAAACAGATCGGCTTTACAGGTTGCTTGATGAGATGGTTAAAGACGGGTTTGCTCCGGATTTCTACACATACAACATCCTCCTCCACCACCTAGCCACAGGGAATAAGCCTCTCGCAGCTCTTAACCTTCTAAATCATATGGGGGAAGTAGGAGTAGAGCCCTCTGTGATCCATTACACTACTCTGATAGACGGGCTTAGCCGAGCCGGGAAGTTGGAAGCTTGCAAATACTTTATGGACGAGATGGTGAAAGTTGGATGCTTGCCTGATGTTGTTTGTTACACTGTTATGATTGCTGGTTATATATCAGGTGGGGAGCTCGAGAAAGCCGAGGAGATGTTCAAAGAGATGACTGAAAAGGGGCAACTCCCAAATGTTTTCACGTACAACTCCATGATCCGCGGGTTTTGTATGGCCGGGAAATTCAAAGAGGCAAGTTCTTTACTCAAGGAAATGGAGTCGAGAGGGTGTAATCCTAACTTTGTGGTGTATAGTACGCTGGTGAACAATCTTAGAAACGCAGGGAAGCTTTTAGAGGCTCACGAGGTAGTCAAGGACATGGTGGAGAGAGGGCATTATGTTCATCTAATTTCCAAGCTGAAAAAATATAGAAGATCCTAGTTCTCTATATTTTGTTTTGTTTCAAAAGGCAATTTTGTGGTGTGGATTAAACAAATATATAGCTGTTCTCGTTTTATCATGTTCAGTATCCTTTCTCAATTCTCAAACATGTTTAGCACAGTGTTCTATAATTTAACACCCATTGTTTCAATAGATTGAAATAACTAACGAAAAAAAATAAAAGTATCGTCGACAGCAGGGTTCGAACCTGCGCGGGCGAAGCCCAACAGATTTCAAGTCTGTCTCCTTAACCACTCGGACATATCGACTTGTTTGAATCAAACGAACAAAGCCTTATATAGTCTTTAAATATTCGTACAGAATGACGAACTTAGCCCAATAAAAGCCCACAAATGCTGGCTTGGATCCTCTAGCTCAGAGTGAGGGTACTCTTACGACGTATGCCACGTGTTACGTTAACGAGACGGTAAAAATAATTCTCGGAATCTGAAATCCGATCAAATCTGAAGAAAACCGGCGAAGAATCTCTGAGGCGTAGAGTGTATTTCATCCCGAAGACGAACCAAGAGATTGGTGATATCGTGAACTATCACTGCGACGGCGAGGGATGATATGTTGTTGGTAACGGAGGCTAGGAATTAGATATGTCATCGGGAGGAGCCGGAGAGTACAACGAAGACAGGCATCTGTTGCGATCCACCGACGGCGATGAAGTTAGCATTGGCGCAGGAGACGATGATCTCGATGTTGAATCTCAGTCTCCGGCTATCAGGAGTGGAAGCGGAGGAGTTAGGGATCTGTTCAAGCATCTGGATCGGAGATTTTCTCTCTCCGGGCGTCGTCTAAGCTTCAAACGGATGGAGAATAGCAGAGTTGATAGGGAGCACCACCATCCTTCTTCTTCTTCACCGTTTTCGGCCGGTGTGGTTGGTGGAGTAGAAGATGGCGGTGGTATCAGTAATTTACATAGCGTCGACGATCGCGATTACCGGAATGATGAGTTCGGTTCTGATGATGGCAACGACGTGCTCGGAGATAGTGCTCCACCTGAGTGGGCTCTGCTTCTCATCGGCTGTCTTATCGGTGTTGCCGCTGGAATTTGTGTCGCCGGCTTCAATAAAGGGGTATGTATGGTCATACATTCATACATCAGATCTCGATCTATTTGAATCTAGATCGATTCGACTGAACATCAACAGTGAATCCTGATAAATGCGAATTACGCTAAACTTTTATGACTGCTGATTCAATAGAGTAGTGTTTTTGTCTAGGTTCATGTCATTCACGAGTGGGCATGGGCTGGTACTCCGAACGAGGGTGCTGCTTGGCTTCGTCTACAGAGACTAGCCGACACTTGGCACCGTATTCTTTTAATTCCTGTCACTGGAGGTGTGATAGTTGGAATGATGCATGGTTTGCTCGAGATCTTAGACCAAATCAGGCAGTCCACTTCTTCTTCTCAAAGACAAGGAGTCGATTTTCTTGCTGGTATATTTCCAGTGATTAAGGCCATCCAAGCTGCTGTGACCCTTGGTACAGGATGTTCACTTGGTCCCGAGGGACCTAGCGTCGACATTGGAAAGTCCTGTGCCAATGGTTTCGCCCTCATGATGGAAAACAACAGAGAAAGGAGAATAGCTCTCACTGCAGCTGGGGCGGCTTCTGGGATTGCATCTGGTATAATCTAAGACCCTACCTCTTTTCTAAAAATGCTTACGCCTGCTCTAAATTGATATTGGTTTGTTAATGCATGGAACAGCAGCGTAGCACCTTCACTCTAGTACTTAACATTTAGCTCTAACCAGCTGAATTTGATCAGCAAATGTCTGTACTAGGTTCCTGTGATGTTTTTTCGCTCACTCTCTTAGTCCCAGGATTTGTATAGCCTACAAATGTGTCTATGGATCTTAGGCTCTAGTACTAGACAAAGCATTTTGCTGAGAGTAGTTGATGAAAAATAGTTCTGGTTGAAGTTATATTTGTGAAGTAATGGTGTTTCTTACTAGAGATGTGAGCACCAAAACAGGGCCTGACATTTAGTTTTTTTTCCCAAGCATGAACTCAGTTCGCTGCACTTTGGCTTGTTTATGGTTAAAAATCTGATTTTACTTGATCGTTATTTCCCGTTACAGGTTTTAATGCAGCAGTGGCGGGTTGTTTCTTTGCTATTGAGACTGTTTTAAGACCTCTACGTGCCGAGAACTCGCCTCCATTTACCACTGCAATGATAATATTGGCCTCTGTTATCTCATCGACTGTGTCAAATGCGTTGCTTGGTACTCAGTCAGCTTTCACAGTCCCCTCGTACGACCTGAAGTCCGCTGCAGGTATGTTTATGATACTTTTAGGCTCAGTTGCAAATCTTCCAGTTAGTCTTGTGGTATGATTTTTTTTTAGTAGCTTATAATTTAGTGTCCTGATGGATTATGTAATATATATATATATATATATATATCATAAAGAATCTTGGTATCCTTAAATATCGAAGCCGAGATTTATCTGCTTCAACTAGTACTTTCTAATTAATTTTCCGAAATATGTTTCCACTTGTCTCCAGAGCTACCTCTGTACCTGATATTAGGCATGCTGTGTGGGGCTGTCAGCGTTGTTTTTTCTCGCCTCGTCACATGGTTTACCAAGTCATTCGAGTTCATCAAAGAAAAATTTGGTCTTCCGGCTATTGTGTGCCCTGCATTAGGTGGTTTAGGAGCTGGGATGATTGCTCTCAAGTATCCCGGAATTTTGTACTGGGGGTTTACAAATGTTGAGGAAATCCTGCATACTGGAAAGAGTGCTTCAGCTCCAGGAATCTGGTTATTAGCTCAGTTAGCTGCAGCCAAAGTTGTGGCTACAGCTTTGTGCAAAGGCTCTGGGCTTGTAGGCGGTCTATATGCACCAAGTTTGATGATTGGTGCTGCTGTTGGTGCTGTGTTTGGAGGTTCGGCTGCTGAGATTATTAACAGAGCTATTCCTGGTAATGCTGCTGTGGCTCAACCACAAGCTTACGCTCTGGTATTGTATTCCCTTTGTTGCAGGCCCTTGCTCCAATGCAGCTTTTTCTTATTATAATATTGTCCAATTCAGTTGTTACGAATTCTGACTTATCAAGATGCCATGTTTATATGTGATGCAGGTTGGGATGGCAGCGACACTAGCTTCCATGTGCTCAGTTCCCTTAACATCAGTATTACTGCTGTTCGAACTAACAAAAGATTATAGAATTTTGCTTCCTCTCATGGTAAACATTCGTTTTCCCTCTCACTTTTTATGATGCTTATGTAAAATGGTGTAAAACCGTTTTGGAGGGGCGAGATTAATGAAAATCTTTTTCTAGTATTCTGATTTTGTCATTAATATGCTAAACAAATTCTGGGTTTTTCTACCCTTTTTAAAACTAGGAAATGTACCAGTTACCATGTTCGCTATAGTAATAATAATATATTTTTAACCAGAGGTCGAGAGCTAGTTTTGTACAGAGATAGAAATAATTTTCTTCATGTCTACATCATGTGCGTTCTTGATCTGATCTGTCTGTCGGTTTCTTCTAACAGGGAGCAGTTGGTTTGGCAATATGGGTTCCCTCTGTGGCAAACCAAGGCAAAGAAAGTGACTCATCTGAGGGTCGCAGCACAGGAAGAGGATACTCTTCTCTTTCGCCTAAAACTGAAGGTGTTTGGAGACACACGGATATTGCTGACTCCCTTGAGCTTACCGTCATAGAGAACCCTGACCACAAATCCTTGTTGGATGAAGAAACTATTCTGGAAGACTTAAAGGTTCAGCGAGTTATGTCAAAGAAATATGTCAAGGTTTCTCTGGGAACAACTCTAAGAGAAGCAAGAAACATCCTTAAAGACAGCCACCAGAACTGCCTTATGGTGGTAGACGATGATGATTTTCTAGCCGGAATCCTAACACACGGAGACATCAGACGATACTTGTCCAATAACGTACCTACAATCTTAGATGTAAGTAGTCAAACAAAAACAAACTCTCAAAACAAACTCTTCAATTTACTTCTTTGTCTCTTGCAGGAGAATACATGTCCAGTCTCTTCGGTGTGTACACGGAAAATAACATACCGAGGCCAAGAACGTGGAGTGCTTACTTGTTATCCAGACGCGACAGTTGGTGTGGCCAAAGAGTTAATGGAGGCAAGAGGAGTGAAGCAGTTACCTGTTGTAAAACGAGGTGAAGTCATTCACCAAGGGAAAAAAAGGAAATTGCTTGGCCTTCTTCATTACGACTCCATCTGGACTTTTCTCAGGTATTAAATTAAAAAGTCTCTCTTTTACCTTTAATGCCCATAAAACCCCATTGTTTACGTGTTCGTTTTTGGTGTATATTCACAATCTTAATCATCACAAGCAAAATTTGCAAATTTGTCTGTTAATTGTAAACGTAAATGCAATGTTTTCATTTCAGAAATATGACCCTTTTTTGGATGTTTCTCATGTAAAAGCTTTTGCGTTTGAAACAATCTTGAATTCCGAATCGAAGGGTTTGATTTTTTTTTTTTTTTTTTTGCTGTGGTTATAATTTTTTGCCAGAGATGAAATGAGTCGTAGGAGATTGATCAACGAGCGTAGAAAAGAGAAGTACGAGGAGGTTGGTGCAGCAAATGGGCATTGATTGGGTTTGTACCCATTTGGTATAGCTTTCTTCTTCTTCTTTTTTTTTTTTAATTTTATTTTTGAGGTCCATTTGATTAGAACGGATGAAAATGTGGTCGTAAAATAATGTTAATACCTCTTTATTAGTTTTGGAAATATATATATTGTTCTCATAAAGTAACACTCATATCATATAATCAAAGAGAATTCTAGTGACATAGATACGATAAATTGTTGGGTGATCTCTACTTACAAAATTAACATCACTAACCTCTTAGCAAACCTTGTGATATTCAGAATCGACAATATCATAGTGAGATGAGTGAGTTCTGTTGATTTTTCTTGTGTGGTTTCTCTAATTAATTGTTTATCGAGGTTTAGATGGTATTTAGTCACCTTTACATAACTTTAATAATATGATCATATTCGAAAATTCATTAAATTGCTTTTCTTTTGCATGAATGTGATGTACAACTGTTAAATTAAAGTTGTGAATTTAAAA